ATGAAGGGTGAGCATTAAAGCTAGGGATAAATACTGTAGGCGGGTAAGTTTTAACTTCCGTGCCTTTAGACGAAGGAAACATGCCATCTTTTTCAGCTTGTGACTTATGCAGGCGTTTACGCCATTTTCGATTAAAGGCTTTTAAATAGTGTTGATTATCGAAAGCATCTGAAGTCAGCTCAGCGATTGTACCGTCTATAAAGCGTGTACGATAGTATGTATAGCCTCCTTTATCCGTTCTCCATATAATGTCTTTAAATTCAGAACGATTAAGAGGGGTATTAGAGTCATGTCTTCTTGCGAGAATAATCTCAGTAGTCAGAATCCGACTAGTGTCTATATTAAAAGCACTGGAACCGTCGGGGTTATTAACCTCATAAGTTTCACTTTTAACGTCAGCTACAGAGATTATATATTGTCCTATCCATTGAGATGTTAATACAGTAGCATCGGAATTACGTTGACGGATGTTAACTCTGTCTCCAACCTGATACTCTGCTATCTTTTTGGTAGCATTCCATCTATTTTGCCTTTTTAATAAGGCAATATTGCGTGTTTCTCGCAAGCAAGGATATACAACGTTATAAATACGATGTACCTTCTCTAACCATGGTAACTCATGGTGATTAGGTTCGTCCTTATTAAAAGGTATTTATAACTCCCTATATCTGCCACGAAAATAGTAAGCGGGTGTTGTACCTGTAACCAGATCAGCACACTCGTTCATCTGTGTTTGTACCCACTTAAGGTGGTACGGCCAATCATCTGCATCATCCGTTAATGCAGTACGTAAGAAGAACTTAAGTCTTCTATGGCGCGGTTTATATGGTACACCTCTTTTATGGCACATGCCTGATACAAATACTAAAGATTCCATTACGTCATCGCAGAACTCGCTACCGTGATTAGGTTCGTCCTTGTTAAAAGGTATTTGTATCTCACTATATCTGCCACGAAAACAGTGAGCGGGTGTTGTACCTGTAACCGGATCAGCACACTCGTTCATCTGTGTTTGTCTCACTTAAGGTGGTACGGCCAATCATCTGCATCATCCTTCAATGCAGTACGTAAGAAGAACTTAAGTCTTCTATGGCGCGGTTTATATTGTACACCCCTTTTATGGCACATGCCTGACACGAATACTAAAGATTCCATTACGTCATCGCAGAACTCGCCACAGTCAAGGCATTAATACCGGACTTTGCGAACAAAATCATGGATCTGATTCTAGTTAATAAGAAGATAAAAATCACAGATTGGGTAAAATTCCGTTTTAACGACGGATATGTCAGCCTTGACTTAACCACGGTAGACTTTATTAAGCTCAAATGCCCTTCAAGAAACTATGTTTCTTGGAGACACGAAGCTGTAGTTAAAGATCAAGTTGAGAAATGGTTATCCGATGGGGTAATCGAAATCAATTACCAACAAACGCCAGTTAACTTAGCATTATTGGCAGTTGATCAACACAATTCTGACGGAACATTTAAGAAAGTCAGAGTATGTCTAGATATGAGTCCAATAAATAAGTTATTGCCGACTCATAGTTTCCATCTCCCTCGTATAAACGAGTTACTGAGACGAATGGAAGGCGCTACGGTGTTTACATCCATAGACCTAACACAGGGGTATCATCAACTGCAAATTTATGAACCCCATCGTAAGTACTTTAGTTTTACCTGGAAAGGTAAACAATACAGGTTCAGAGGTGCACCTTTCGGGTTGCACTCCTTACCATCATTCTTCCAACAAGTAATGGAGGAAATGCTTGCAGACATGCCTAACGTGCAAGTCTATATAGATGACATAGTCATCTTTTCTAAGACTAAAAGCGAACATGCCGCATTAGTCAGGCGAGTCCTCCAGAGACTCAACGAACAAAACTTCAAGATTAACGAGAAGAAATGTCACTTCGCCATGAGCGAAATACAACTCTTAGGCTACCGTATATCTGGGGAAGGTATTAAAATCAACCCCTGTAAGGTGGAACACCTGTTAGATTGGCGAACACAAACAACAGGAAGAGATGTGAACAGCATGTGTGGGTTTGTAAACTTTTTCTTAGACGGAGTACCACACTTGGCTGATTATTAAACCCTTTGGACACTTAAGATGTCATAAAGGCAAACTAGGAGACTTGTGGACTAAAGCACGCAGTCCAACAAGCCCCTGTTGTACAAGGTAGCTGTTCTTTATTGAATAATTTTC